GGAGGGCAGGAGGCGGCTGCAGAGGCTGCGGCGCCGGGGAGCAGGGCCAAGAAGGGGCTGAAGGTGAGGCTGAGGTTGGCAAGAGTTAGGGCTGGGGCAGGGTCTGGGGGCAGAACCTGAAGGACGTTTGGGAACTTCGGGGAGAGGGGTGACCGGATCTGGGGACCCGGGGGCAGGTGTCCCAGCCCTGAGCCCCCTCCTCACTGTTGACGCCGGCCTCGCCGTCGCCCTGCTTTTCTAGCAGCTGCTCCATGTTCGTCGTCCCGGGGGCCGCTGGGTCTAACTGGCCGCCCCCACAGGGTGCGGACGCCGTCTGGTCGAAGAGTGCGGGGAGGCTGCTGATGGGGGACCTGGGTCAGAAGGGGACACCGGCTCAGGCTAACCTCCCGCTCCGGTCTCCCCTCCCCTCCCCAGGGGTTCCCGTCATCCGCGTCTGAACCCCCCTCTCCTGGTGCCCGCTCCCCCGCCCCTCCTCCCGGGGTGCCCCTCCTCCCGGGGTGCCCCTCCAGCCCCGCCCCCTCCCTCACATGGAAGACAGACTCTCCTGAGGGGAGGTCCCCCGACACCGGAAGCTGCAGTCCTCCAGGTCTGGCTCTGGGAAGGAGAAGGGAGGCGGGGGTCAGCGGGGAAAGGGTGCAGCCGGCCGCTCGGTCCCCGCGGGGAAGTGGGCATGGGATCTGGCACCTGACAGCAGACCCCTCCCCGGGACTCCCCACCCCAGTTCCAGCTCCGAGGGCGCTGGGAGCCCTGGCCTGGAAACGGCCCCGTGGGAGGGAAAGCCATGGACCCGTCTCTTCTCGGCAGAAAGACTCCCTCTGCCCGGCTGCTCTCACACCTCTTCCCTGAACGCTTAGTGCTGTAGACTTTGGGTCTAGACAGCCCTGGGTCGAACGTGGACCTGATACCTGCTCTGTGAACTTGGGCTTGCAACTAACCTCGGAAGTGATTGTCATGAGGTTTACAAATACGGCAAATAAATGTGAAGTGTTAAGCTGCACGCAGGAAGCCCTTAGTAATTGTAGCTGTTAGGTTTTGTAGGACTTTTTATATTCATAAACTCACAAATTAGGTGGCAAAACCCTTGGTTGGGACACAGAATTCCTATTGGTTGGGGGGGAGGGGTGTGCCACCCTACCGTGTCACGTCTTTAATTCTGGGTCCGGTCTCTTTAAGAAGGCCTACCTGAACTGGTGGCGGGGTGGTAGGCCCCGCCCCCTGGCTGGCCAGGTGGTGTGTCTGCACCAATCAGCTCTCCGGGGCTGGGTTGACTCTCAAGGGAGAGGGTGGGGCGCCTGTGACCCGCCCCTTTAACTCCTACACACCCGGAGGGCAGGTTGCCCAGCTGGTGGGATCGCAGTAACCGCTGATCCCAAAGGCTCCCTATGAGGCCAGCTGATCCCAAAGGCTCCCTATGAGGCCAGCTGATCCCAAAGACTCACTGTGAGGCCAGCTGATCCCAAAGGCTCCCTATGAGGCCAGCTGATCCCAAAGGCTCCCTATGAGGCCAGCTGATCCAAAAGGCTCCCTATGAGGCCAGCTGGGAGCTATGCTTCGGCGCTAAGAGAACTGGGGTCAGAGTCAGGGGCCCAGAATTTCCCGACTTCCACTGCCTTGAGTATTAATCTCTCTGCCCTTCTCCCGTGAGATGGAGCAGTAATTCTTTCCTGTCCTGTCCCAACCCCTCAGCAGGTTTTAACCTGAAAGTGTACCCTGGTTTGTTGTGTGTGAAAATATTTTTAGCAAAGTGGGCAATGGCCAGAGGGAGGGGGCAGCCAGGAAGCCCTCCCATCTTTTTTTGGGGGGGGGGGAGACATGCAGGTGATGGGTGCCCCTCAGACCTTTGGGAAGAAGGGGGGATGGGGTCAGAGACTCACATACCTGTGTGGCTGCTCTCGGCTTGGGTAAGGAGGGGGTTAACGACACCCATGGGGGTTCCAAAGATGTGGGTAGAAGGGAGGCTAAAGGTAGAGCCAGCCAGAGAAAACACCTGAGGGAAAGGAGGTAGAGTCCAGCCTGGTGGTTAGGCTCAGATCTAGGGCAGGACTGTGCTTACGGGGTGGAGGGGACCGGGTGTGCTGGGGAGGAGAGTGGGCCAGAGACCAGGAGACGTTCTGGGGATCAAGCTCAATATCTCAAGTTCCCATGGAGGGCTGGGGTCTTTAGCAACCTGTCCCCCTCCCCCCAC